CTCCCTCTGGGTGGGAGCGAGGGGCCGCGGGGGGCCAGGCCCGGGCCTGGGGCAGCGGGGAGCAGCCAGAGGCCGGGTCCTGGCGCTTCCCGACTAAATTAGTCAGGTGTGGGTGTCCGTTGCGCCCTGCCAGCCCGGCGGCGTGTTACCGCCACGCGTGGGTGTGGGTGCGGGCGAGGAAGGCGCCCGGCGCTCGCTCATGCCCCCGGCAGAAGCGAGTGACACCCGTGCCTCGCCACGTGCGTGGGCTTCGCGTCTGTGACCGCTTTTCAAGCGCCTCCGAATCAAAGTTAAAACCAGCCGAGGTGCGGGCGGAGCGGCGGGCGTTGTGGCTTGGCTTCGGGCCGGTCTGGCAGCCCGCTCGCTGCCTGGGGTGGGGCGGGACCTGAGGTGTGAAGGTGGGGGCAGAAAGGGCCGCTGGCAGCCCCCCGGCGCCCTGAGGGGACGCTCACCCCTGAAGGGAGTTGCCCTGTGCCAGCAGGTTCCCCTTGCTGTGTGTTCCTCTGAGGACACATCGTGAAATGCGAGGTGACGGTCGGGGGTAAAGCACCCGCCGTCTTCCGTGGGACTCAGCTTTCTCCCAGACGCTTCAAGCTCGCGTGTAGGCGCCAATTAAGCGAGACGTTCACAGCGCAAGCGCTGCATGCATGCGGTAATTGTGGCTGTGATTTCTTACTGTTATCGTACGTTGGCGGAAGACAGATAGACTGGTCAGTCCTGCAAAGCCACTACAGGCCATGTAACAGCATCACATCTCAGAACATGCTTGCATTTTTTTTAATAACACGGTTTTCTTGTAAGTAGTAATAAGGCTGATAAATGAGGAATTAGATTTCATGACTGAAGACAGTTAATGTAAATTCCGTTTTACTTTAATCAATATTCTGCAGTAAAGCGAGGAAATCGTTTGCACAAACAGCTGCCAGACAGCACGCTGATTTGTTTCTGTGTGCTTTAAATGGCTTGAATGTCTTTATTTTGTCATGCAGCAAAAAGTCCTGCTGATGGTACTCCAAGAAGATCTGTTTTACCTGTCAGCGCAAGAAAAATTAAAGATAATGCAGCAGACTGGCATAATTTAATGATGAAATGGGAGAGACTGAATGATAATGGATTTACTGTCGCAAACAAAATAGTCAACATGAAGATCAGTGAGCAGTAAGTACGCTAATACATACAAGTAAAGACAGCATAAAGATTGCTTTTCTTGAGAAATTAATCTGTTTTCTTCACTAAAAAGTTCTTTTTGGAGATGGGGGAAAGAATATGTCAACTCTTAGATCAAACTCAGCGGTTGCACTTTTTTTTTTTACATAAACTATTTACATTCAAATAATAAACATCTCAAAGATTAAAATAATCTCATAAAGTAATGATATTTGCAAGAAATGGAAAATGTTTTTTATACATAGTCAAGCATAGCGGATATTTAAAATACTTATATAATGTACATATAGTTAGAATCTAATCCTATAGATCTCAGCCCATGTGAGTTCCCTTACTCTCTTGCATATTTATACTGAGGCCAGTATTACGAAATTTCACTCAAGTCAGAAGTTCAGCAGATTTTAAGAAAGAATCAGTGATTTATATAGACAAAAAAGTTGTAACAGTGATGATTTAAAAAAAAAAAGAAAACAAAACTAAACAGAAAACCAACCACTTTGGTAGAGCTATTATCTTCATGCTGTAAAGAAAAACCTCTAACAGGGTTTTGAGAAGAAAATTCTCCAGAGTCCTGACAGCTGAACAGGATTTGTCTGACAGGGTTCTGACAGGTACAAGCTCAGGAATATTTTGCTGTAGTAGTGTCAGATGTTGCTTTCACTCTAGCAAGTCCCTCTCCCCTGTCTAAGTTGACAGCTTCTGTGGGAAAGTCAGCAAGACAGGGTAGGTGTCCGCACATTAGCTGCTCTGGGTTCACAGTTAAATGTCTTGGCTTAAATTGTGCATGAAGCCTGGGCATACCGTGTCTGTTATGAGAGGATAACCTCCAACACAGGGGCAAGGTAAAGTGGGAAGAAGCGTTATCTTAACACCTGCAACTGTTTTTTCAAGCACATGCTCTAAGGTAAATTCTATGTTCCTCTGAAGATTATGGTACCAGCCCCAATTGCTCCCATGGCTAGCTATGTATCTTACTATTTTTATGTAGGAATTCTCAGGAACAGCCTGTGAGAGAGAGATTTTGTAGGATCAGACCACATGGATTTTAAATCTGCACAGCTTGAGTAAACCTGTATGCAGTTGTTTACTCTCCCTTATGTTTCTATTTTAGATTTCCAGACAACAAATGGGAGATAGCATGTGATAACGGTGCCACAGAATCTGAAAAGCCAACTCTAAAATACAATGAAGAACTGGACAATTGCTGTGTGGAATTACTTGAGACCTTAAAGCGTATGGTAATGCTCATTTTTCAATCTTAGTCAATATGAATCAATTCCAAGTATGTTCAAGTATGACATAAGGAAATGTCCTCAAGTATTTGTTGTAAACAGAAGATTGGGATTTTTATTCATAGTTCTTTGGCTTCAGACCTAAATGGATGATAAATCTGGTGTGTACCATTTATTTGCTTGATTGGTAAATTTGAAAGTTGGTTTTACATCTGCTTTCTGCTTATAATTCTAGTCATCCCTTTATAAAGTGATCTTCTGAAAATGAGTCATACAAAAAATGCATTCTAAAACTGCACCTGTTTTCTCATCCTGAATATTCCCCCTGTTTAGAACAGAACAAACAACAAAGCATAAAGGAGTGCTTTACCTGCCATCATATCCTTGTAGCTAACTGATGAGACATAATGCAGTTACATTTTTAGTCTGCCTACCTGCTTTTTCTGTACAGAACTCCTTCTCTAGAGAGTAGAGTAAGATAATTATTGTGTAATCCATCTTTTTTCTGGATACATTGCTAGGAATTAATGTCACCTGTCAGTTTGAGAGGAAACAAAAATAGTGGGTTTTTTCCTAATACTGTAACTTAAAATTTTTATTAAAAATAACTTTTACAGCCTTCTGCCATAGTGGAAGCTCAGTATTTAGAATAAGCAGAAAAGCAGCTAGGTTTTCCTCAAATTTTGTTCTGTGGGGAAAAGTAACAGTAATTTGGGAATTTTTTTTCTTTTTTTTTTTTCCTTGAGGTAGTTTTGTATTCAGACTACCAAGTGTGTCGATGCAATTTTTTACTACTCCTGAGCAATAGGAGTCTAAGCAGCCAGTGTTAGATTGGATACTAAACATAGCTGCTACAGACATACTTTATTTTTCGTTCCTCATGAGTCCGTACCAGCTTACGAGTCTATAGAAATATCTGTATTTTATCTTCTTGACATAAAGATATGGCCTGCAAGCTCCATTTTCTTGTAAATATTAGTCCCCATCAGTAGTGCACAAAGTCAGGTGAACAAGAAGGAAGTGGATGGAATGACCTGTTTTTTGAAGCAAGCTGTTAAATCAGCCTAGATGTATTGTCAGTCATAGCTTGAGCTGCTTTTCTCACCTGCCACTGATCTTTTGAAATAAAATTTAAGTCATCTTGACATGGTAATGTAAGAAAGCATGTGTTTATAGGGCTTGTACCACACTTGTTCATAGACAGCGTGATGGTTTTCCCTAGTACTAAATTGCTATGGGAGAAACCCAGAGACAGGTGAAAAAATGAGAGGGTACTTTAATATATTTCTACATGGAGGAAATAAAAGAATTACGCAAAATCAGAGTTGGTAAGTCATATCTGCGGTGTTCAAAATTTTAGGGTATCTCATATTAAATCTGTGTATAAATTCCATCTTTGATTCCTGTCTGGAGTTAAAAAAAGTGAGTTAGAAATGTTAAGAATAAATAGTCTTCAGAAATAGTGTATTTTAAAAAAATGTTTAAGATTATAGTAGCCTAATGTTCCCGAGATGTTTGTTAACATTACATGTTCATCATTTTCAGACAAAAATACAACTGAAAATGGAAAAGCTTACTTTGACTACTAAAGCAATCTGTGACTTGGAAACATTCCACCGTGGAGCTGGGAGTTGCACAGCACCTTTCTTTCATACATGGCCCACACCATACTTCTGTAAGTAAAATATTGATTATCTTAGCTAATTGTGTTGTGTCATTGATGTCATCTAATTTAGGACTGAAAAATAAACCCTTTTATGTGAATGTCTTGCCTTAGAGAGAGAGAGTGTATCTGTCTCCTTTATAATTGACTGATCAATAAACACATGAATGCACTACTTGGCTTAGGATTACTGCTGATGACTGCTTGCATGAATTGCCAAGCATTGTCTGACATGCAACAATTACAGCATAAAACTAAGCTTGTCAGCAGCTTACAGTGTTCAAGCTGCAACAGCCACATCCTTTGTAGAGAGAGATGTATTTGCAACTCGGTCGTGTTAAGCTGTAGGCTTAACTGACTTGACTTGTTATTTGACACTGAAATGAAATTCTTGAATGTGAAGAACAAGCTATACCTCAGTTATTTCTTGGGCAGCCAAAGAAAAATTCCTCTGATCTCAATGTCAGTCAAGACAAGTAAAGAAATGTGTGGTTACTGTCTACTGTTAACATCAATCATTTTGGCATTCACTTGATGGCAAAAGGTGCTGCGTCCCAACTGGTATTACTGCAGTTTTAAAACTGAATTCAAGAGAAGCCTGTTTGCATGCAAACCAACTGCCTTCTCTGTGAAGTGAAAGTCATACCTTTGTGAAGCCCTGCTTCTTACTTCACTACCACAAGTTAGCGAGCATCTTGCGTATTAGTTTCTGCCAGCTTAAAAGGGTAAGAATGACAAAGAAAGACAGCTCCTGTCAAAGCACTTGTTGTGACTGAATCATTTAATGATGCTCTCTACTCCATGAAAGACTAAATCTTCCTGAAGGTAGTGGTAGTTCAGGCTAAGTTAGAAACACAAGATCAGTCTCTCTTTAAATATGTGGCTATTTTTTTAAAAGTAAACCAATTAAAGATTATTACATAAATACATTTTAACCCTCCATACCAGTATTACTAACATAACTAGTAAGAATATTAGTTTTTACATTACACACTTCAGTTTTGGTCTGTTTTTTTGTTTTACTGTTATTTTTCACTATTGGTATCACTTATTGGTGATCGTGCATTGCTAAAGTGCCCGACAGCATGTGAGGACATCCTTTAGATTAGCTAAAATCAACAGTGACTCTAAAATGTGAAGCTTTGTATTTCAAGATAGCATTACCAAATTTTAAAATCAAATTTCAGTTATTTGAAAGAATAGCTATAATTGCTAATTTTACAGTGGATCCTGAGAATCAATACCACTGCTTATTCTAGAATTAAAAGGGGATTCATGTCAAAATCAGAAGTGTATCAAATATATCCAAAAGTTGAGGAAGTTGTTTAGCATTTTATATTCTAGTGCACAAACATTATTAATGCTGTAAAAAACAAGATGTCTCAATATGGGGAATAGCTTATGTAAGGTAGCGGGTTTTTAATGATCAACATATTACAAGTATAATTTAACTTCTAGAGAATTGCTGAAATGTTCTGGTCAACATGCTTGGTTTTTCAATCCATTTCAGATGAGGTTTCTTTGAAGCTCTCTGAAATGTACAAGAAGGAACTACAACTCAAGCAAACAATTGTACAAGAAATTGCTCATTCTGCTGACCAGGATCTGATGATGGTCTATTTATCATCATGGTTATATCAGCCTTACATTGAGAACAGCAGCAAACTACTACTTGAAGCCATGCTGCTGGAAACAGGACATAGACAGTGCTAGAAATTCAAATGTTACATGGCTTGCTTCTAATGATGCTTACATGAAACTGAAATGGCAAATTGCAACTTACCAAGTGAGTTGAATTTTTGTAAAACATTAAAAATATTTTTCTCTATTTGTATTTATTATTTTGTATCAGACGATACTCCTTTTTCTTCAAAGGACAATCTGGTTTTGGTTGCTTTATCCATTTTAAGTGCAATAGAGAGGCTACAGGTAGGAGGCCAAGTCCCCTATAATCAGAAAGAGGTAAGCACTACTTGGTGGTCTGGGGGGATTCAATGCACATAGGCACCTACAGCAAAGAATTTAACTGCTTTCCAAGTCTTGGCAGTCTAAAATACTTATATTGTCCGTTTCACCGTAGAAATTCAGCACTTCCTGATCTTCCATGGGCATGGCTTAACAGGGCTAGTGCTTTTGTACTTGCTTTATAAATGGGGAAAAGGAAAGGAAAGCACAAAAGGCAGGATCCAAAAGGATCCACATAGTTTGGTATGTGGTTCTGAAATGCTGTCATAGACACTAGTGTAAATTCTGGTTTGGTTTTGATTATAGTGAGGTTAGGTACATCACCCTTGAAGAGTGATCCAAGCCTGAACTAGCACACTGGGAAGATTTAGTACAACTCACCATTCCACAGTCATACAATGAAAAGATCTTGTCTCTTTTAATTCATTGTAACTTTTTCTTTTAGAGATGTTTCGTGAAAGCAACTATTGAATAAAAACAAGACCTGCTTCAGTCATGGCCTTATCCTGTATTGTTTGCTTCCTGTCATAGGGCTCAGTGAGTTTTTCCTTGGATTACTGTTTCTGATGTCAAATGGTTTTGGTTTAAAGGTGTGCCTCCTCTGTATTTTTGGTTAGCAGTTTACATGACAGGAATTGGTGGCTCAAATTCTTGCTTTTCTTTTTCAAGCTGCTTTTTTGGAGAGTACAGAGTGTGTTCAGGAGAAACAGTTAATGCAAAAGCTAAATGCTGAAGTGGAATTCAGTACCCTTATTAGCTTTCACTCCTAAAGATGTAATAATCACTGTAACGTGGAGAAGCTGCTCCACTTACCCCAGCCTTTAGTAACTGTTAGCTGCTATTGCAAATTATCACTTTTCAGAAGTGTACTACAATGTGGAAACTACACAGCTGTGTCATTAAACTTTTAGTTAAATCCCTAACGTGTAGCGAATGTAGGCCTTCTGCTTACTTCATTATGATTAATAATCAAAATTCCTTCCACTTACTGATTGCTGTATGACCTGGTCCTATATAAACTGTTTATTTAGATCTCATATTTCACACAATTATGTGGTGTTTCTAAGTGTTTCATTGTTGTGCCCTGACAGATGTTTACCCTTGATTCTCCTTGAAACAACTATGTGAACTGAAAGACAGTAACACGAAATGCACACTGCTATGAAATGACCATGATGGCTGTGGCTTGACACTAGAAAAATCTAATTAAAACAGTGAGAGATTCTGGAACAGATTTCTGATAGGAAAAGTAGGGTCACTTAATTAACTAGTTTCAAGCTGAAACCCCATAAGCTTGGTAAGGGAAATACATGAGTTTTCTGCAATAACAGAACAGACAGACATGAATTGGAAAAGATTTCTCAACATGTTGTTCTGTTCAACAACGAGGTTGTTTCTGACAGCTTAATAGTGTTCTATTCTTACCCCAAATTTCTAGCATCTAAAAAGAAATTCTGCTGTCGCTCAAGGAGAACACAATCAGTTATGAATAGCTTTGTTGGGTTTTATTTTTCTGTGCAAGCGTTCCACCTAGTTTAACAGCTACCTTAATTTTTCTGAGTAGGGCCAGACCCTTGTCACTATGGAAACACCTTCATACTTGGGAAATATTTTTCAAGGAGAAAAGGTTGGTTCACTTAAAAGAACAATTCTATAAGATGAGAGTAGGTGTATTGTATTTCCCAGCATGTGCAAATCAATAGGGAAGGCAGAATTGAAGCAAATTTTCATTTTCTGCACAGGCGGAAATTGTGGTTTGTTCTTGTTTCTTAGAAGAAATAAGCTCTTCAGGAAGGAGTCTTCACATTCACAGACCCCCTTGCCCATTGAGTCCTGTCAGACACAAGAAGATTACTGCAAAATCATTGCAGAGATGTTTTGCCATTATAGCTCTAAGCAGTTGATTGTTGTATTTGAAGCCCTCAGATGTAGCTGTTAAGACATTGGTACAAAAGAGTGTAATAAAGAATTGCTCACTGCAATTGAAGACTGTGAAAGACCAGCAGAACCTTGCTTTGTATGGTATCTTCACTTGTAAGGTAGGCCTGTATCCTCTGACCATTACCACCTCCTAAAAAAAGGAGGAGAAAAAAAACCAAAACAAAAACTACACCATAAACCCAACCTCCAGACAGGAGCTCACTGACATATGATGACATCTTTCACAAGCACACATAAAATGCAGTGTTTCGGCTAATTAAATTAACCTTCTACTTAGGCAACCAAGAAAAAAAACAAACACAGCAAAAACCAAACAAAACCAAACCCAGCTATGTTAAAGAGATACAGTAGAGCAGACTGTTTCATCTCTAAATTGTCCTTGCTCTTGTTTAGATTAAATTTTAGTGGTTTTCCTCAGTTACAAGACCATGAAAAAAATCAATGTTCATAGTTAAGAACAGTTCTCCTGCATATTACAGGTCCATTTAGCTGATTTATCCAGTTATCTCAGTAGCCTCATGTATTTAGCAAGGAGGCAACACACCAGTTTTAAAAGGTATGTTACCAGTTTTCAGTAATGTCTGCAATAGCTCATGAACAAAATAAAGATATGGGTCATTTAAGGCTGTTCTTTTTCACGTGCTAAGCTTCTTGAAAGTAAAGACAGTGCCTTGGACAAGAAGCTGCTAGGAGGTCTCCACAAAAATATTATCATGCAAGCAACGTACTGAAAGTATGACAAAAATACAAGATAGCAGTAGGTAAGTAGTTTTGTGAGTTTTCTGTCTGCATAGAGGAACAGGCATTATAGTCAAGGGTATCTTTTTATTATGATTAAGTAGTACAGGGCAGTGTGGAGTTACTAGGAAGGTCAAAGCTTAGAACTGATAAAGGATGCATCATCTGAACAAAAAAGTATAATAAAAGTCTAACAAAAAGAGATCATCACAGACTAAGTAAAAAAAGAATTTGGTATCTCATTAAGGAAAATCAGATCACTACAAGCACCTTCCCATTTCTGACTTAAATAACAGCAGGTTTTAAAGGTGTGGCTGAACATTAGACAAGCATACTTAAATACATTTCCAACAGTTCAGTACCAGCCAGATCTTGTTTGAGGGTATTTTTGTCTCTAACTCAGTGGATGCTTATTTAAGTAAGGATCAGCTAGGCTGTCACATTGTTCCCGGAATGCACAAGTGTGGATTATATTTAAGACTGCCCGTTTTTCCAGGCAGATTTATGCACATCAAGTCTAAATGCTAATGAATATTCAAGCTAGCTTTAAGAAAGTGCAGTAACAACGTGTTTTGTAATCTCAATGGCACAGAAAACACATATTTTTAATGTAGTTTTTATTTTACCCATATACAGCTTGCCAGTACACAGCACATCACTGCTGAACAGCAGTACAACTTACTGCATTTTCAGATGGCTAGAGAGAAAAGGAATTATGTAACAAAAGGGAATAGTGCAACAGTTTTAGGGTTGACAGATTTCCACTTTCCACCCACCCCCAACATATAAAGCAAATAGAATGATGTTAATTCTATAATTTTTGGTTGCAATGCTGCTAGAATTATATAAACATAAGTTATAAAAAGTACAGGGCATAGAAACAGTTTACAAATAAGTTAAATTTCAATTATTTCAGTATTCACATTAGAAAAATATACATTTTAGAGTCCATCTTTTCCAGAAGAAAGCATATACAGTTTTCTAATTTATGGCTCCAATTCACTTTGCGAGAGCAAAATATCTTCACTTTGGCCATCTGCTTCCATTGCCAGTAGTGCTTCCACGGTTTCCAAAGGTATCCCCTCAGGTGTGCGAATGTGCATTGTAGTACCATTGGAATCAGTTACAATAACAATACCTTCTGCCTGAGACAAAACAGCAGTGTCTGGATGAGGCAGGATAAGCCCATCTGAAGTCTGAATAAAAATCTGTTCATGTCCCTGAGACAAAAAATCATGGCTCTCATCAGTAATCTCAAAGGCCACAGTTTCATCTACAGTAACTGTATTCTCCAGCACATGTTGTTCCTCTGTGCCACAAGAAAATTCATTGGGGTTTTTAAAAGAGTTTTCATGGTTCACATGAGCAGACAAGGAGGCTTCCTGGACAGGGTTCTGGTGCGACTCAGTCTGAACACTGTGTGGGTAGCTTATTGGCACAGTGTTTGTTGAAAACACTTTTTCAAGTTCCTGCATCTCATCAGTCATACCAGCATTACGAAGTTGTTCAGAATGTTCTTTAATAGCAAAATTATGGTTTTCTTCTTGCAGTTTCTGGTATTTTTGATTGTGACCATTTTCTTCACTTGTTGGTAAGTTAGTGCTCTGACTGCCCACTGCATTCTCTGACACAGAGCTGCAGAGTTCAGGAGCTGACAGTCCACCTGCTGTATTCTCACTCACAAAGTGCGCTTGAACTAACTGAGGTGAGCCATCTGCTTCAACAGGCAATACAACTTCAGTATGTAGCAGAGATGCGTCACCTGCCATGTCTGGTCCCTGTACATTCACAGGTTGGGAATACTCTATCCTCATTTTCACAGTCTGGGAGAAGGTACCTGAATTTTCAGCATCGATTCTAACTCCTGAATCAGTAAGTGAATTATGTTCCTCTGCTGTTGGTAATGTACTTCCAATTGCACAGCAAGTGATATGCCTATCTTCTGAAAGCAGGATTTCTCCATTTAATGGATTAAAACCTGAAAAGGTGAAAGAAATATCATTTTGTTGGGCAATCTATTGTTGCATGTGCAAAAAAAAATATTTTTCAGCAATAATTTTGGAGGAAAAGCTAGACTGCTTCCCTACTTTCTTCCCCCAAATTAGCAAACCTGAAGCACCTTGCAAGA